GGGGGGGGGGAGGGTGGCGAGGGTGGCGAGGGTGGCGAGGGTGGCGAGGGTGGCGACGGAGGGTGGCGAGAGGGCAAGGCGGCACCGACGACGGCAAGCCACCGGCGCTGGTTGCGGACCCACCGGTTTCGGCAGCCGGACTCGGTGCGGCCGGAAAGGTTGGCGGCGATGGCGCGCCACTTGAGGTGCATCACCCGCACCGCGTGGTCGATGTACCGGTCCTCCTCCTCCGTCCACATGTCCCCGCCCTTGTCGACCGGGGTGCTCTCGCCGGAGCCCGAGCCGCTCGCCGCCAGCGCCTTCGCCGCCAGCGCCTTGCGCTGCAGACGGTGCCAGCGATTGCGGACGGAGTCGTCGGTGCGCGGGACGGGGAGGAGCGCGGCGATGCGGGCCCACTTCTGCCCGAGCCGCTCAACGCTCTCCGAGATGATCTCGTCCTCGTCGCGCGACCACGCGACCTTGCTCTGGCCGCGCTTCCGCTTGTGCTCGCCCGACCCGGAGACAGACGACGCCGTCGAGACGGTGGAGGAGGTGGAGACGTTGGAGTCGGTCCTCTGCAGGGGGGCAGCGAGGGTGCGATGAGCAGGGTCAAGGCGCGACGGTAGCACGAGGGGTGCCGGCAGGGAGGAGTGTCGGGAGAGAGAGCGCGCCTCCACTTGCGGCCGCGGCAAAGGGTGGAACAGGGTGTTGTTCTCCTCCTTCGCGCGGCTTGCGAGAGTTATGAGGGCGTCGAGCGTGCTGACGTCGACGACAGCGCCGCCCAGCGAGACGACTGATCCCTGGGACCACATTGTCAGTTGGGTCAGTAGGACAGAGTGCTTGCAAAAGCGCGATGCACAGAAAAAGCGCGCCCGAGATTCAACACCATTTCGGCACGCCGTAAAAAGAAATCCCGCGTAAGGGAGGTCAACAACGAAGACTCTCTCTCAAAAGTGGGTTGTCGCAGGCGCGTTTTTGGTTCGGCGAGGCGTCCTGAACGAACCGGACAACGAGCTCAGCCGAGCGGGATGGGCGTACAACAGGGACGAGAAGGTACCGGTCCTCGTAACCCCGAAGGGTATATGGCCCCGTTCCCCCCGTCGTGGACTAAGCCCCCGGTACTTTGGGGGGGGGCGGCGGAAAACACCCCCAAACAACCACGCGGGCGGAGAATGTCCACAGGCGCTTGCGGAGTACACGGAGAGTTCTTTCGCTCGCTACTCCACACGGCACCTCGGCTTGGCCTTTTACGAGATTTTCCGGCAACCCAGAGGGAAACCAGAGAGAGGGTCCCCAGCACTTTGAGTTTCCGGAAGTTTCCAGGGAATTCAGAGGGTGTTTGGTGCTCCATTCCTGCTCCATTCTGGCAACTCTCGAGTTTCCCTGAGTCTGAGAGCTGGTTTGGCGCAAAATCTGCGGCGAAACCGAGGAAGCCGGCCAACTACGCCCCGCAAATACCCCGGTGCTGGGGATGCATGGCTTCCACACGCCAGGATGCTTGGCTTCCACGCGCCTGCGGCCGCGGGCGAGCGGGCGGGCACGCCACGCTCGGCGACGCTCTGCGCGGGTCTTCGAGCTCGCAGCCCGCGACGAGCCAGCATGGCTCGTCGCTCGACGGCAGCCTGCTCAGAATGCTCTCGGCATTCTGGGCGAGGCGTGGCCGCTTATGCGGGAATGCGGCCCGATGGGGAGGAGCGGGGCGGACTACCGACTACGGGGATCGGCTTCTTACACCGCCTTTCCCTGCAGCGAGTCCCCTCCAACCCACCCGCGCTAGCTAGGTCCTGGGTGACGTAGGGGAAACCCGCCCGACGACCTCGGGAACTAACTAGCCAACTCCGTGCACTGACGGCCGGCCGTCAGAAAACACGCCTGCGTGGATCGCGTCAAACCAATCCGCCCGAACCCGTGTCCGCTCCCGCGCCTCGTAGATGGTGGCGTGGCCGCCCTCGGCCATCACGCGCTGCAGCCGGAGCTGCCGGCCGCCGAGGGAGACCATGCGGCCGGTGCCGTCCTGACTGGCGCCCTCGAGCCCGAGGAAGCGCCACATGCGAAGCGGGCGAGCGGCTGTGACAGCGAGCGTGAGACCGGGCGCCCTGTCGGCGGCCGTGAGAAAAAGAATTCGCGGTTTTCGCCTTCCTTGGGTTGTCTGTTTTCTTTTTAGTTTTTCCCCGCTTAGGCGGCTCCTCCCCTGAGCGAGGGCGGCGAGGCACTTAGCTCCCGTCCGACCGCCCCCGCCGCAAGCAACTTGAGAAAACAAAGTAAAAGAAAACCATTCAAATAAAACACCGGCCGTTGGCTAGGTCAAGCGCACATCAAGCTAGCATCTCCATCATGCTGTCTCTTCCCCTTCACATTTACGCAACCACACCAGTCGCTGCTGCTGCGCATTCCATCCCACGGCCGGGCTGCCACCGCCCACCTCGATCGAGCTGGGGCTTTGTGAAAACAACTTCACAACACGGCCGTCACATTTGTGGTGTTGTGTCGTAGCTGAGCCCATCGGTGAGATCCGGTGAGCTCGCTGGCGGCCTGAGGACCTCTCCCTGTGGACCTCTCCAGTGGCCATCATGATGAGAGGACCTCTCCTTGTGTCAGTCAGGTCAAGAACTCTAGGGAGGCGAGGAAGGGGAGTCACGCCTCTCGGCATGCCCTTCCGAGTTTTGTCATCGGTTGGGCTCGGTTGGGGGTGACGGATGCCTCTTGGCGGTAAGCGTGTATAGCATGATGCCTCCGTGAGGACCTCTCGTGAGGACCTCTCCCTCTCGCGAGCACCTTTGAATGCTTGGGCGGGGAAGAGGAAGGGGCGTGAGACAAGCAACCTGCTTGGGCGCGTCGCCTTGCAGCTGGGGGCGTCAATCATGGGCCGCTGACCGCCTATAGGTCTCGCGTTTCGCCTGCGGAGTCGAGACAAAAGCGCTCGGATCATGTCCAAAGAGAATTGGATTCAGTAAACATTAATTGAGTGGCATGTGTGCACATGTTTGACCATGCAGTGCGTCCCTTGTAACGCGCGCGATGATGCACATCATGAATTAGTGAGTACAATAACTCCTCTCTCCCCACATTTATGCACAGCCACACCACATCAGTCCACGACGTTGGCCGCCACCGCCCACCTCGAGCTGGGGTTTTGTACGAACAACAAACACGCGGCTGTCAGGTTTGTGGTGTTGCATCGTAGCTAAACGCCCATGGGGTGATCAAGTGAGCTCGGCTGACGGCCTGAGGACCTCTCCCTGAGGACCTCTCCGTGCAGCGCCATCATGATGAGGACCTCTCCTTGTGTCAGTCCCAGGTCAGGACCTCTACGTAGGGAGGCGAGGATCGAAGGGGAGTCGCACCTCTCGGCACGCCCTGCCGAGTCTTGTCATCGGTTGGGCTTGGTAAGGATTTCACGGCGGCGCTCTTGTGGGGGTGTGAACGCGTAGCATGATGCCTCGCCGTGAGGACCTCTCGTGAGGACCTTTCGTGAGGACCTCTCGCGAGCATCTTTGAATGCTTGGGCGGGGAAGAGGAAGGGGCGTGCGACAAGCAACCTGCTCGGGCGCGTCGCCTCGCTGGGGCGCTCAATCATGGGCCGCTGACCGCCTATAGGTCTCGCGTTTCGCCTGCGTAGTCGAGTCAAAAGCACGCGCTCGGATCATGGACAAAGAGAATGGTATTGGTTAGTTGCGCTGTTTGTGCACAATCAGTGTTCTGTTTGAAGTGCACGTTTTTCTCCGCCTGTTCGCCATTTTTTTTTCGCTCTCCGCCGAGTTTTTTCTTCTTTTTTGCCGGCGGCTCTCTTGTCGCCGACGACGCGAATTCGCTACCCAACGCGGCCAAAGGATATCCACCTCGAGAACCTCGAGAAGTGAGTGAGTGAGTGAGTCACAACCTCGAGAACAGCCACGCAGCAAATGGGCGAAAATTCTTGGGGGGGGTGCCGCCCCCCAGCGCCCGGACGGTCGTTGAGATGCTGCTCCTCCTGTTGCTGCTGCACCTCCCCGCAACTGCCGCGGAGGACGGCCTCGCCTGGCTCTGCGACTCGCTCGACGCGCGCACCGGCGACTGCGTCGTCAGCAAACCTCGCTGCGTCACGCACTTTGCCGGCGGCGGCGCCTGTGGCGGATCGTGCTCAGACACGCCGCCGTTTGCGCCGCACGCCGTGCGCGACTGCTCCTTTGGCGGTGGTGGAGCGCTTCGCCTCGGCCCCAACGCTTCGCTCAGCTGCGCCTTTGCCGCGCAGCTCCCCTCCTCTGGCGCCTGCAACCTGACGCTCGCCTTTGCCGGAGGCGTCTCTCTCGCACCAAACTCGAGCATCACGGCCGCCACGGTGACGATCCGGTCTCCCGAGGCGGCGGTGGTGGTCGAGCACGGCGCCTCCATCTCCGCCGCCGGCCTCGGCCGCTGTGCCTCGTCGATCGACCCGCTCTACTGGACGAGTGGCAAGTCCGGCGCCGGAGCAGGCACCGCCACCTCTCTCCCCTCTTCGCTTCACCCCCACCTCGGCGGCCTCTCTCCTTCCACTGCCACAAGCCGGCTCGCACACTCGCGCGCTCTCTCTCTCTCTCTCTCTCTCTCGCTCGCGTGCTCGCGGTCTGGCGCGGTCAACCGTGAGGCAGACTATTCTTGTGCAGTGCGGACTGCATCGTCAGGCGTATGCGTGCACATGGAGCTGTATGCTGCGTGTACAGGCTGGCAGACTGTGCAGCAGATAGCGGAAGAGCGCGTGCGCGCGCGCTATCGTGAG